GGCCCGATGCTCTGATGCGACCCGAGTGCTCAAACTGTGCGTCCATAAAATGAAGGTTATAACAGAAATTCTGTCGCTCGCTCTCCCTCTCTGTCTTTCACTCACACAGACACGCACACCGCCACCATCAGCTTTGCTAAATTGCTAATGAAAAACATTGATCAGGCAGCTGTGATTGAGTAGCAGTGTAAATCCAACTTTTTTTATGGTTGTTGTGGTTGTGATAATTTTTCACATCGAAAAGGCTCGGATGAGCTTGCCAAAGTTGTACAAGTTGTGCCTCCATCGCTTGTCTCCAGATCGCACGCTGCGCTGCCGTGCTACTCCGTCTTTTTCACCGACATTTATGTGTTTGCGCGTGCGCAGTGTGAGAAGCTGCAGTGACACCGTCACGACCAAGCGATTGATGGGGAGCTGGTCGATGCACGACACACGATGAAGGCCAAACTCGGGCCGATCACCAAAACGGTCGCACGACTGAAAAATTGGCTCAAAATGGGCCAAAAATTGCACAGTATATACCCAGCTTAAGTATAGGGAACTTGCTCTCTGTCCCAGAGTGAGACAAGATCCTCAGAACCGAAGAGCCGAAGTCTTTTATATTGACCTTATATGTGCAGAACACAGATGTAGGGCTGGACTCACTGGAGCTTTATTATTAAAGTTTCAAGAATCCACAGAACCTAAACTGGGAGATATCACAGCATATTGACTGGAACCACTGAACAGCAAGCCCACACATTGAGGGAGATCGCAACAACAGACAAGGGGAGACACAGACAATATATACACAAGAGGGAAGGAGAGCAGAGAGGAACCACCTGGGGAACACAGCTGAGCATAGTCTGACTGACGAGACAGGGGAAGCAGAACATAACATAACTCACAGAGAAAAAAGAGACTATCACAATAAAACAGGAAACAGAGAAACACACGCGGAGGCTCAGACCGCCACAGCCATACGCTTGTTTCCTCTGTTCTCTTCGTTTTTGGGATGTTTTTTCAGCTGTGCAAGTCCATTTCTAGTTTGCATCACACTTTCAAATTTCACTACTTTCCTGCTAGTAGGTGGCAAGTGCTTCCAGACAGGTTAGCATCTCGATGACTGGGGTAATCTGCTGTTGATCAAAGCAATTGTAAGAAGGTTTTTGGTGTGTCACCCTCTTTGCGACTGAAACCTCCAGCAACCACTTGCCAACCAGTCAAGGAATAGACATTTTCCCTGGGAACTGGAGGCTGCCAGGATCCATCCATTTACAGGTAACCAGTCTAAGATAAATAAATAAAAGTGAGCTTTTAACAGTTTGTGATCTAAAATGCACGTCATAAGACAGAGGAGTTACAAAGTGTTTGAAAATAATTCATCTTGCACGATTTGCAAAGCTGTCCAGAAGGCTGCACTTATGCATTTTGCTTTATTTTGTATATAATTTATTGTATTATTGTCATGGTCCTGGGTCATAGTGTTTTTGCGTTTTTATATTTTGTTCTTTATTTATTCCATGGTTCCTAGGTTGTTCGGTTTAGTTTATTAGATTTCCCCTCGTGTCTTTAACCCATGTGTCCCCCTCCATGTATCTGTGAGTTCCCAAGCCTCGTTTCTCCTTGTGTTTTATTCCATGTTTTCCCCAGCCCGTTATGTCTTTGCTCTCCCCGTGTTCTCTCCCCCCCTCCTGTGTACTTCCTGTTTTACTTTGTCAGTTTCCCGTCAGTATACGCCATGTTGTGTTTGCTCCTGCCCTGTCTCGTTATGATTATCAGTGTCAGCTCTGTTCCCCGTGTGTTCCCACATCCCTCGTTATCCTTCTGAGTATTTATGTCTGCGTCTCCCTCAGTTCCTTGTCGCGTCCTCCGTCAAGCTGTGTGACTTTCCTCGTGTCTTTCCTAACTTCTGTATATTGTTTACATGATCGAAATAAATTGAACACAACAGCAATCTAGTACTTAAGGGTTAGGTGTGTCAGATGTGCTGCACAGCTGGATCAGATGTTGAGCAAGTTGGTGGAGATCATCATGTAACTTTCTCTTTTATACAATACACCTGATATTTATTCATGAAATATCTGAACCGGTGGTATTACTGATTTAGGCAGCTGTTTGTAATGTGACTCAACTTACAGTCACAGACAACAACAGTTACAGACACACTTACAGCACTGATCCTGCGATATTAAATTTACATTAATGTGATTCACCCTTGTGTTATGCAGGGATTTCACTGAAACTCAATACTTCTGTCACAAATTTCGACACTTAGGTGCTGATGTAGCTCAACTTCTTTTCTTTTCAAAGAAATTGGCAAAACATTGAGCAGTCCTACTTTAAAAGTGTGTGTGTTTAGCTTATTCTGTTACAATGAATATTAATAAACAGGACTGCACCTATACTGCGAGTAAGGAAAAATGCAACTCCAAATTAACACCGTCTGAGGGAGGTAAAGGAGGGAAAAATAAAAGCGATCAAAATCTTTTGTTTTGCTGTTAACAGTAAGTGCCTATAAATGAATTTTAATTTGTTGTAGCAACCTGACTAAAACTTTTTTGACATGCAAAAAGGAGGGGAATAACTGACAGGCCCCATATTGACTGAATAAATGAAACAAAAGGATCTTTTTTCTGCTTAATCCTTTGATCAAACACACATTTGTGTAGCTCAGTGGTGTAG